CATGGATAGCCAGAAGGTGCTTATTTATGCCTCTTTATCGTGTTTATTATTTGGGCCACCAATTAGTGATATTCGGTAGGGTTTCATTGACTTAACGGTATTTTGTTTATGACTAATAAAGCATTATTTACAGAAAGTGGACAAAGAGTCTGATGGAGAGAGGGAGAAAAATAAAGGTATAGAAAGCAAAAACTGCTGATGTGTTTTTGTCTAGTCATTACCTTTTGGAATTATAATTTACTTCATAATCATTAGTTAAAACAAAACAATTTGAGTGCTACCAACTTCAGTATATGAGGTGGGCAGAACCGCATTGATAACTTTTTTTATTATTTAAAACAAAAACAGCTATAAGCCTCAGAGGAAGTAGGGGGGAATCAAGAAAACTGAATTTAAAGCCTCTAATTACAGGAGTCTTGAAGTTTAATCCAATGCTGAAAAATTGCCGTTAAGAGAACATTTAATTTCAGACACAGTCCGAAGCAACCACACTTTTCTTTTACTAAGAGAGAACCAGAAACCACAGAACTTTGAAAGGCTTGTGCCCCTTTAAGTTGCGATTCCAATGCCCACGCCGCCTCAACGAGTCTATTTCGGTGAGTAACAAGTCAAATTTCACTTAGATTGGCCTCAATTCGTGAGCAAAGAGGAACAATTCGCCGAGCTTGTCAGGCTTTCCATTACCATGTGACAAATACCTCGACCAATGAAGAGCAAAATGGGATTTGCTCCATTGACTGAATTATTGAAATGGACAGTTTGAGAGAATTATGGTGCAAAATCCCTTCACATTTCAAGACCATACTGTTCCTCTTATCCTCATCCACTATCTCTGCATTTCGTGATTGTCTCTCGACAAGATTTGCACCATGCGCAGGAGCTGATTTGATGAGACTCGCCACCTGTTTTTCTTTTCTTTCCCATAGCCAATACCCCGTTACGACGTATCTTTAGCTCACTAGTCCTTTCTTTGCTAGTTTGAAAATAACTCGGCTGTCGATGGGCTACCATCTGATAACACACCACCCACACACATGCATCTGCACGCTCACCTACATGCATGAGAAACACAGCAGGAGCAATCAATCTGTGACATAGCAAAGAGGAAACTAAAAATACATTTGCTTTTCTCCGTCTTTTGTTCCGATTCACAAAGGAGACAGTAGCATCGGACAATTGGGATGTTCTTCAAAAAGGGATGTGTGAGAAAAGACTAAAAGGGGTCTGTTCTTTGGGCCTCTTGTGCATGTCTTTCATTATTCTCGTCCCCAAAAGACTGTCACTAATGCAGTCCTTTGAATTCATTTTATCAGTTCGCATTATTAGGCCTCACAGCCAGCTTTGACCTTGCTCATTCTTGCAGCCTAAAGTGTGCATTTTCTCAACCCTCCTTTATGTGACTCATCTCCATCTCTCTCCATTGGATTTCAATAAGGAACATGCTGAAAACCACAGTGAAGTTAAAACGCCATCTTTTTTCTTTTTTTTTTTGTGCTGCACAGTGACCAGCAGCTTCCCCCCCCCCCCAAAGTTGAAAGCTATTTGATGTCTCGTCAGAAAGCAAAGAAATGCAAGCTTAAGGGGAAAAAAACCCTTGGTGTAAAAGCACAACATGATACAGACAAACAACTCAGCACTCAAGGTCAAAAATATTGCATTGCCTGTCAACAAGCTCAACATTGCTGATGGTCTGAATCTAATGAGTACCCGTCACATTAACAAAGCCATAGGCAGCACTTTTTGTACTGCACCATGGTCACAAAGCAATCTTTCTGACCTCTGACTAAAACACCAAAATTATCTTGTATCTGATTTTGCCTCTGCCATCGCTACATCCCATCTTCAAACCGCAAAGCTGAGCAAACCTTATCCAAGTCAGCTTTCACGTTGCTGGAACTACCTCACCTGGTGGCTCAAACATCCAACTGCAGCTGGTTGACTAGCACTCTTGGTGCCTTGCTCCTTTGAGATATATCAGATGCAGAAAGAAGGCATCTAAGACATAGACCGAAGTGTTCTTTGAAAAACGCTAGATTATAAATGTCCTTTTGTAAATCAGGTTTCAGTGAACTGCAATCCAGAACCGCACAGCTTTCTGGGGGTTGTAGGCAGAGGAAAGGATTTAGCCACTCAACGTCTCATGGCCAGCTAGCTAAGTAAGGTGGGTGGCATCAACAAACTTACAGTTGCTAAGCTAGCAGCAACCTATTGAGAAACTTTCACTGTAGCAGTATCATCACCATGGCCTATTACAAAAAATAAAACGATCAAAATGGAATGAAGGGAGAAAATGAGTACAACGGATTGAGAGGAAATTGTGGATAAAAGAGGAAAGGTCACATCACCAGTTTGGCTGCATTTTAGATGTTTCAGTCTATAAAACAAATCAATTATCGGTAGACTGGTAAACGCTTATATCGTGATATATTTTCATGCCCTATCGCCCAGCCCTACTTGTTTTCATTGGCTTATTTAAATAGACTCAGGTATAATTTGCTCAAAAATAAAGTAATACCAACCAAATGTCTAAAACTTAAAAGGCTAAGCGATGTCAAGAGCATCAAAGCACACACTGCACATTGTCACCATGTTGTTTCACCTCAAGTGTTGTGGGCTGCTATTTTTAACGACTGCCTATCATCGCTACACCGTGCTCTAAAGGCAGCTGATTCAACCTTTATAGTACTGTCACTATCTTTCTTGACAATTTAGAGTTGCAACAGTGGGAGATTGATTTTAACCTTGGTGCTATCAAGAATAAGTTTTAGACTGAAAGGCTGGAAAGGAATGAAGACAGGCTTCAGTTGGAATGTCTATTGAGTTTCCTTTACCCCAAATGATTTTGTAGCCAGAAAAGTTGGAAAGGCGAAACATGAGTTCAAATAAATGCCACTGGAAAAGCCAGTTTTTCACTTCTAACCTGATGCACAGGTGTAGTAAAATGGAAGGGTACCACCCCAATCCTTTCATACTTAATGTCTTTTAAGGTCTAACAGCCATTATTGCCATAAGGCTCTGAGGGCCATTCTTGGGTTGTATGAATCTCAACAAGAACCCGATTTCTAGGATCATCACAGACTTTCACTGATGCAATATTTGATGATGAATACGCAACGAGATGGGCTTACTTTGAGGGAATGGTGCTGAGTTTGAATTTGCCAGATCGACTACAGCCAAGATGTAGCTTCATAGATAGAATACACCGACTTGGTTGTTGAACAATAGCACGTGTTTTACGTATGCTTTACTTTGTACCTGAACGAAACTGTTATAAAGCCCATATGGAAGCAGACCAGACAGAAACAAACGTGCATATAGTTCTAAGCACACAGAGATGTTTCCAAATCTGGTGATAAGAATTCAGGGATGCATCTTGACATCTTTTACAAATCTGCAAAGCCATTGACTGTTTGGTTTTGCCTCCATTTTTCTTTGCTGTAACCCCCTTGATTTTTATGTAAAATCCAAAGCGTTTGCCTGAATATGACCTGAATATCTGCATTGTACTGGAGGCGGTAGACTGGACGGCACGTCATCTCAAGCCAAGCTTTTCAAAAATTCCACAAAAGAAACCCGTGACTGTTCCCTCTAACAGATTGCTTGCCCTCTGGTTGTGCTTCTATCAAGGGAATAATAAGTGGAGTTGTTGTTTTTTTGGGGGGTTTTTTAGCAAGCTTTACACTGTACAGTAATTCCTCAGCTTTGCAGCGTTCCATAAGGAGTAAGTGAGCTCAAACCTCTTGCAGGAAGATCTCCCCACAGACAGATGTGATTTGTATTTATTGTGCCGCATTGTAGGTGGAATTAATGACTGGTTGCAGGGAATAATCTGCCAGGCGGAAACATCAGTCAAGTTGTGACTCATTAAATCACATGCCATTCACAGTTGAATGTCAGCAAATGACACTCCATTAATTATACGATTCCCTCCACAAAAAAAGAAGAAGAAAATAAATAAATAAAGGGGACTGAACTGCTCAACCATGCTGTGACCGTGTCTGCCAGGCCCAAGTGGACGGGACGTGAATGACGGAAATAAATATTTGGGTGGTAGAAGAGGTGAGAAAACACAATAGAAGGTGAACATAGGTGCATTAAAACCGCTTGACCTCAATGTTACCCTAAAGCTAGACTCTAGTGCCATCTATTGAAAACGTTTGTGAAGTTTATTGGGCTTCTTTATGAATTCATCCCCAAATTATTCGTAAGGCTTTAAAAAAAAGCAAAGCGGATTACTTGTTGACGAGGCATGCTTTTTTTTTTTTTTCTCCCTATAAATCGAACAACCCCGAATCCCCGATTGGTTGGTCGCTTTCAGAGCATGAAAAGTGCAAATCTGACTGCAGAGGACGTCGCGCACTTTTTTTAAGTTAAAAAAAAGAGAGAGAGAAAGAGAGAGAGAAACAATTGCGCATCTAAGAGACAGACGAGAGCGTAATTAGTGAGCGGTTTACCTTCCTTGAGCAGGCGTGAGTGGATGAGGAGGATGAGAAAGCAGCAGATCGCCGCTCCGGTCAGTGCCCACGCAACTCGGAGCAGCTGCATCCTGGGCGTCTGTGGGAGAGGGGGCGGGGGGGGAAACGGTTTGTCGCGGACCGACACAGCCGTGCAGCGGTGGTGTTGGCTGGGGTGGTAGTACAGCGGGAGGGTGGGGGTTAGGAGGTGGTGGTGGGGAGGGGATGGGATCAGCCCGCAGACACGCACCGGTTCCTTCTCAGCTGTCCGTGCAAGTCGACGTTCATCGTGCAGGAGATAAAAAAATATATATATATATATTTATCGTCCAATTTTAGATGGGGTTCCAGAAAAAAAAGAGAGAGAAGAACTAAAAAGAAAATAACATTATGATGCGCGCTGGTTTGCGTCAGAGCGGCTCCAAGAGGGGCGATTAACCCCCAATCAGTTGCTGAGCTGCTTGCATCTTCAATCCTTTAGTTTTTTTCTTCAAAAAAAATTCTTATTTAGATGATTCGCTTCTCTCATCGGATCAGGAAAGCGGACTGCTCCCTCTTCGAGTGCGCACGGCGGCTCCACGGGCGATCATCACCGCTCTCCGCTGCATGTTACGCACATCTCTCCCGCTGCTGGAGAGGTAGAGGCGCACACTGCCAGCCAAAGTCGCCTCGCAGGCCCCCTCCCTCTCTCTCTCTCTCTCTCTCTCTCTCGCTCTCTCTCTCTCTTCACCTCTCCCTCTCTCTTTCTTTCTCGTTTCAGTCAGATCCAACTCTTCACGCTTATGCACAGCAACGGCGAGGTTAACATCTCACCTGCACCATCGGAGCATCAGAAGCTAAATTTCCTCTACTTTTTTCCCTTTTGTTGAACAGGTTGTGCAAAAGCTTGGATCCCTGTAGTTACCAGCAGATATTTTGTGTGTGTATTCCTAAGAGGAAAAATCCCCCCACCCCCCTCACCCCATCTCCTCTGCTTAGCTCCAGGTTACGTCACGACTTCTCCAAATAATTTCCTCCAGCTATAACGCAAGAAGATCGCGCATTTGGAGCGTTTCCTCCTATAGGGACTCAAAGTGAGGGTAGCATTGTTTTGCACGTTCATTGTTAAAAACAAACAGTTTTTCTGTCTAAAGGTGATATTCTTCACTTTATTCAGGGATGATGCAGACACGGAAGGGGGGAAATATGACTTTGATGAACTCAGACTGAGACTCTTTTAACACAAGTTACACACGTGGGATCAAAACAGATCCACAAACAACGTGGGTTTCTTTGAGAACTGTTCACAGATATTACAGTGCAAATTAGTGTTTTGTTTGTTTTAAATAAAGATCTGAAATGTGTGGCAAGGATTTGTATTATTAAACCCTCTTTCTGATTTTCAAAAACAAAACAATGCAAAAACAAATGTGTTTCTGTGAAGGCAAGGGCCGGTTGCAGCAGAGAGTGTCTATAAAATTACATATTGAACTCTCCAAATATCAATATCAATCGCTTTGAGTAAAGTTTAGTAGTCTCCAGCTAAAGGAGAATATTCATCAAGGACAATATCAAGAGATCCACAGCAACTCGGAGACCAAGAGCTCAGGTGGGATAGGCATTAGTCACTTCACAAATATTATCCTAAAGAAGGAGAAGCAAAATTAAAGACATTGTTGCCTCCAGCAGGACAACAGCACTCATGTATGCTTTGTGTTTCGTCAAACACTTCAAATCCCAACAAACTACTGAAGTTTGTGGCTATAATATGATAAAGATAAATGGGTCATGAAGCCACTGCTCCTCAAAACAAACAAAAAAACTAACATTGCAATGTCAGTAAGGTTGGCTGCCATAGATATCACATCTAATTAGACGCTAACAGTCTCCATGGGCCCAGACCAAGTGTGTATTTGACTATGCCTCCCCCACCGCCATTTGTTTGTATATAGCAAAGTTTGCACGTTCACGCCCGCATCAATTCGTCCATCCACTGCAAAGGAAGGTAATTAACAGAGATGTAATCTCTGCGAGGATTTGGTGTGGAAAGACTCCGTGTTTGCTTGTGGCTTGTGTGGGAGTGAGAGCCTGACATTTACACATGCTGAGCCTATAGCAGCCCGGCTTCACGGGAAGAGCAACGAGCTATAAATATGATTTTATGCATGTGGAAGGAAAAAAAAAGTCTAATTAAGAGGGAGAGACGAGAGAAAGGAAACGGCTTGATTCTGCTTAGTAACCAATCGCAAGATTTCACAAAGTCTTTCAATAGTGACAGAACAGAAACGCGTCAGAAATTTTGTGCTATCTTGACTTATAAAATGTTACCAAAAGAACTAATGGGTGGAATAAATCATGATGATCCATAAGAAAAAAAGCACAAATTGTTTAAAAAGAATATTCACATGATTCATAACTGATTGTTTTTTAAAAGTAAGCAGAAAACAACACATGAACGGTAAATTCAAATTGTTAGCCAGCTGATGACGTCTAAAACTGTGTTCACACAAAACACTGCAGTACTGTGAAAAGATATTTGGCCCCTTGCAGATTTTTCTTCCAATTTTTTATTTTTATTTTTATTTTCTTTTTTGTTGCCACAGCTAAATGTTAGAATTTAATACAAGACAAAGAGCAAAATACAGAAAGTTGTCCCAACTGAACATTTTCCTTTGTGAAAACTAAACCTTCCCCACAAACGTAACAATTTGTATCAACCTTGGCAGCCAAAACAGGCATCAAGTGTTTCGGATAACTCAAATGAAGAGCGTTTTTCAGGAAAACCCGGCTGTTTTACAGAATTGTTTGAATTCAGCTGCGTCAAACGAGTTTGAAGTACCTGTTATGGATCACACCACAGCATCTCAACCGAATGTAAGCCCGGAAGTCAAAACCTTCATTTTGTTTTTGCTTTTTTTCTTTAAAAAAACAAAAAAAGTATTTCAATTCAGAGGTGTAATTTTTTGGTAAAAGTCTCAGAATTAACGGTTCTATTAAATACAGAAAGTCTTCCAAGTGAAGTGGCCCCAACCATGACACCACCACCCCACATGTTTATCTGTCAGTATGATGCACCTTTTCTGAGACGTCGCAGTAATTTATGCTAAAAGTAACACTTTGCACAAGTTCAGTGCCTCATCAGCTCACTGAATATGTTTTGCCAGAGCTTTTAGTCACAGTCAAGATGTCTTTGACCAAAATGACGTCACTGGTTTTTATCTTAGAACTCTACGACCGTTGAATAATGAACTCAATTGAGACAAACCTGGACCTGTAATGCTTCAGATGTTTGTCTGGGTAGGTTTTTATCTTTGCACAAGGTTTTTAATTTGAAAATGGTTCAATTCTGAATCGGTTTTCTTGTATATAAAGCTGAACCTTTGCTCGGAGACCTTGAGGAACAACCTGGCTAGACGTTGTAAAGTCGAGATGGCTCTTCTAAAAATTATTTACTAATTACACCTTATTCACCTTCAGCGCTTCCACGTCTCCTCTTACTTTCTCCTGCCGTTACACCCGAGCCGTGTTCCTGTGCTTTTCCTTGCCAGGAGCCAGGAGAGGCGTTACTTTCTTTGTCCTTTGTGCAGGTCACTGGCTGTGTGCCAGCCAGAGCTCATGCCAATAAAAGCTGTGAGTAATGGCCTAAAACTTCTCCATTCACTGTGTTTCCCATTATTTCCCTCAGCCAATAAATCTGAAGGTCTTAATCAAGGGAAAAACCTGGAACATGCAGCCCGTGTCCTGCAGGGTGTCCAACAGCGAGATCCTTAATTTTTAATCGAAGATTTAAAAAAACAGTTGAGGTGTCAGGGAGTCCCGTCATCCAAACCCCACCAATGTGACTTTGTCCTCAGACAGGTGGCGGTAATATTGTTTAGGCAGATGAACACACTGCTGCTGTCAAGAAACAAAACTGCCTTTGGGCCTCTGAGATCAGCTGGTCTCTGCATAAAGTCCCCAAAGAACCTAATAAACTAATAATTGAATAAATGTTACAAAGACCCCCAATTACTGAGGAAAGAAGTCACAGCAGGGTGGAGCGCTCCACTGGGGCTCCAAGTGCAGCTAGTAAATCTTGGATGTCCACGAAAAAGGGAGTCCGCATCTCCCGCAAGTTTTAGCCAAAATTTATCACCTAAAAATAACCAGATGGAAAATAAACGTTCCCACAGGAACATTTATTGCTCTCCACGGTTACTTTCTTACTCTTTTAAGAATTAAAGTGGCTATAAATTATTGAGTAATGTTTGAAGCTATATGCTCATCAAGAAAACATACATGCCAAATGGCAATTATGTGGAGCTTACTAAGAGTAAAGCGAAGAACTGAAAGTGTGTGATTTGGTAAGGGAAAGGTAGGCCTGACATTTTCAGCAACAATCACTTCAAGGTGGGTTTGGGCTGAAACCAGGAATGAATGTGTTTAAGGGAGCATTCACACCAGCCCTGTTTAATCCGCTTTAATCTAACTCTGTCTCATTTGCCAAGAAAGTCTGGAGAGGAGTGAATGTGCAATCAAACTCTAAAAACCCTGGTTCGGTTGCAATGAACTCTGATGAGGTTCGAAATGCCACTTCGACTGGAGACCACTCTAAAAACAGGAAGTGAACTATAGCGCTGGGCATTCTGGGTAAATTCAACCTAGAAAAATGCACAAGTCTACCGCTAGTTGGAAAAATAGCTTGTGGTCTTCCTGCCAGTGACAAATGAGAAAAACTACAACTGCTAAAATAACACTGGATTAAATAATCCAAACTTGTGGAAGCCAATCAGCTCCATCATCCTAGTTTGAGTTACACAACTACATTATGTAGAAGGCATTATGTAATTTGTGAATGAAATTCCATGACATGTTTTCTAGGTTGAAATAACTAATCTTGGTTTGTGCATTTAAAAAAAAAATAAAAAATTAACTCTGCGAGAAGGCTGGAACACACCAGAGGAATACGACAGAGCATCTAAACCAGATCACAAACCCATTTCATTACATGACTGGCAGTGTGTTGCTCTTCTTACTGTCAATCATTTGATGCACACAGGAAAGAAAACCAAGATTCTCACAAGAAATAATCAATCAAGCTGCCTCACGTCAAACATCTGTCATTTTCATGTCTTTGTATATGAGAAACATATCTTAGAAGAGATGTCGGTTAATTATTCTGCATAGTGTGTGTGTGTGTTCAATTGTCTGATATAGCTTATCAGGGAACAAGACAAAAAGAATGAAATCTAAAAAGATAGAAAGATGAGCTCCAAAAGATACAACTGTAGAAGATGGCTTATTAAGTTCGGCGAAGGGTTTATTAGCTGCCTGACAGGAGATTAAAATATATAAAAGGAGAACATTTTGAAAAAGCGCACAGCACGAGTTTATTATGGTTTCTTTCTCCACATTGAGCCAAATGGAAACAGATACTGAATAATCTGCAAGCAAGGCAGTTATTATATTGATTCATGCATACCTATCTGTGTAAACAACTTCTCTCCTTTCAAGTCTTTTCTTAGCTGGCATTAGCAAAAAAAATAAATAAAAAAAGTGAACACATTCACTCATTTTCCTTTACTAAAGCTCATAGAAAATTATATTCTATTCAAGTATTTGCCTGTGGCAAATTTCTGTTCTGTGAGCAGTCTGCACGTTCTCCTGGTTTCTGGTTTCACTTTTCTAGCTAGCTGGGATTCCTGTCAAACACATGAAGGTAAGGTTAAACAGTTGGCTGCCATTCAAGGGAGAAGTTTGGACAGATTAAACTGAACTTCAAATATGCCATGAAACTTTCTCTAATGCTCAAATTTTTACATCCACGATAGATGGTTAAAACCTGCACATGGCTGGGCGATATGGAGTTAAAGTTTTATCACGATATTTTGTGGTAGTACCGTGATAACGGTAAAAGTGACAACCACTATTTATTACTACTTTTTAGGTAACTGTATGGCTTTATGGTTGTGATTGCAGGACACAAACACAAATACTGCTCTTGACAAATACACCAATTTGTAATATTCTTCTTTAAGACACAAAAGTGTCATTTCTATTACTAAAATTCACACTGTAGATGCATTTAATCACATTTTCACATCTATTGATATTTACTGACACACTTTTGTGGAAGAAAATCGCAAAAATAACAACCCCGACAATACCAAGAGTTTTAAGGGGTTTAAAACAAAATTAATCAGAAATTATTGTGATAACGGTAAACCAGAATCTCATGACAACAAATTTATCGCGATAAATGATAAACGATACAATAAATGGAACCACATTATGGCCAGATAATGGGCAGGCAGAGCCCCTATATTATATTTTCCTTTCTCATTGTAATGCAGAATATTAAAATACTGAAACCAGACATGTCCATATTGCATAGGAAAGGTTAGAACAAATGTTTGAACAGTACAAGTACCAGACTACAAGTTCAAAAATGTGGCTGGTGTTTATTTCTGAAATTAAAAGGGAACATTTCAGGAGAAAAATTACATTATTAAAATGATTTATATCTTATACTGTTTCAGAAATATCTTAACTTCAAACACTGCTCAATAAATCATAACCGAGGCAGGGGGAAAAAAGCATTGCGCAGCAAGGTTACCACAGTTCAGTTCACTTTCAAAGCACACAACTCGAGTGGAAAGCTGACTTCATCATTTAAATATTGATCAACTATTGTAATGAAAACGTTATATTCAATCTGCTACCGTGTAATGAAGAATCAATACTCTATCAGTATTAAATGAGCCACACTTTTCATGCTATTCTGAATTGACTGAGGGAAAGTTAACAGATGCGAGTTTCAATTTTCATACCAATCTTTTATGTGCGAAACGTCTTCCTCGATCAGGAACCGGGGCTTCTGGGTAAGGGAGGGAGGAGAAATATGTGCTTTTTACTGCATGAGTATTTACATATACAAATAAAATTAAGAGGTAAAATATCAAATTTGTATTGAAACAAAAATAAAAATAAAAAACAATCTAAACTTTCTAGTTTGTTTCTAGGCTAATAAATGGAGTAAGGCAAAGTATTATTTGTAAAAGCAGCATTTAAACATGATGTAACAGAGGTAATTACCTTAAGAGTAATACCAAAATGTAAGGGTCATGTAAAAAGAAATTTTAAAATGCTTAATTAAAGCACATCTAGAGACCACCACTCTAACTGAATGTCTCACCTGAGAAGCAAATCTGAAATATACTTCTATTATAATAATTGAATTTCCTAAACATAATAAAATTCTGTGTCCTGTTTTAATAGGAACCTGTTCAATCAAACAATCAGTCAAGTTTATTTGTGCAGCACATGTCAGCATCAAGGAAATTCAAGGTGCTTTAGATCATAAAAACTCAAAAATTAAGTCAAAGACACAGTCAACAACTAAAACATAACATTTTGTCCGATGGCATTATGACGCATCAGAATGTTTATCAATGTTTCATTTATAACGTTTCCAAAGCAACTCTAACCAGGTGTGTTTTAAGTCTGGATTTGAAGGAACTCAGCGTTTCAGCTGTTTTGCAGTTTTCAGGAAGTTTGTTCCAGATTTGTGTGCGTCGCATCCGAATGCTGCTTCTCTGGTATTCTAGTATTTTATTATTTTAGAAAAATAGAAAGCTGATTAAGTCACACAAAATATGACTTCCTTGCTTGTTATCTTTAGAGTAGCCAATTGTTGATTTCCAACCTTGTTTTTTGTGGGAGCATATTGACAAAACCCAAGAAGGAAACCTTGAGAAATCCCAAAGATTATCTTTTTTCAGTTATAATGGTCTAATGAGACAATGTAGTGTTGATTAAATAAGATCTTCATCGAGCAGTTTCCAGACAGTCAAGGGATTGATATCTATATAATTGCATTTTGTTTGCATTTTGGCATATTACTCTTAAACCTAAAAGCTAATGTGTTTAAGTTTATCAATTTCATTGAGCTGTGGAGCGTATTTAAAAATAACTGATGAACCTCCTGCCTCATGTCTACCAGTAATAAAAAGCAACACGACAGAAATTGAAAAAAAGCAGCAATAGCAGTACAGCGGGAGGATCTCCGTCGGCTTCGCCGGCCAAAACAAAAAATTCCATTTTGAAAACAGTGTGGATGATGATAATACTTAGCAGCAGCATTGTCTGGCACAAGATAAAAAAAACCAACAACAAAAAAACAGCGAAGAAAGATGGAGAGAAAAGAACAGTCCTCTTTCTCTAGATTGCTGTAACCTTGAGTAACCCTGTCACAACTGAATTCATCTTTGAGGGAATAGAAATGCTACAATCAAAAAAAAAAAAAAAATGCATGTAATTATTAGATAGTTGCAAACAGACAGAGAGAAGTAAGAAAAAAAATAAAAAAAGGGAAATGAAGACATAATGGAGCCCGGTAGTCGGAGAGTAGGTGAAGGGGTGAGACATGAGAAAACTAATTTTCATCTCTTGGGGCGTGAGGGGAGACAGCTTATAGAGTGACACCAAGATGATTCACTATTTTTTTCGCAATGCTCCTGTAAAAAAAAAAAAAAAGTCAGACTAGCAGCGTCTGTCACAGCAGACAACTGAGGGACAACTGCTGCAGACTCAGGCTTTTAGGTTAAGCTGGTTTAAAAATAGGCACAATAACATGGCAACCCTTTAAAACTATGTCTGCACATTATCCATTACTTGGTACATTTGTCAATTTCAGGTTAAGTAAACAATACATTAAGTTAAATAAATGGCAAATCCATGTTTTGCACTTATTTTGACAGACCAATTGTTGCACTGATGACACAAACTACAACATTTCAGCCCATACAACAATTTTCACGCAGACTTATTTTTAGCTTAATCTGATAGATTTCATGATTCACCGATTAGCATACCAACTTTTAAAGTGTACTTACTAAAGAAATGTACCTGGTGTTGTATTCTACTGCATTTTTTAAGACACCAGCAAGCATTCTGAAGTGGGCAAATTGCGACACATTTGGCTTTCCATATAGTGGTGCCGGCTGGAAACAATGTACTTTAATACACAGTTTAATAAAAACAACCTGGTTAGTCTTTTATTTCCTTCAAGTCGTCATTGGCCATTCATCATAGGTGTTGTTGAATTGCTTTGGTGTGGAGTACCTTAGATAATATACTCAAATTTTACATGTGACAGTTAACACAAAGCAATTAAAAACATATTTAGCCTTCGTACATTTGTACATAATTCATGATCCAAATTTAAACTGAAGGGTCTAAGAAAAAACGGTTTGATAGGAAAGGACAAATTAGCAAAAAAAAAAATTTAAATGTCTGCATCAAAGACTGGGAAACACATTCACGATTAGCACCATTTTAATGTATTATTCACGCTAAAAACGCATGTTCGTTTGATTCCGAGGTGCCCTGTACAAACCCATTCATGCATGGGGAGAACATGGCAAGCCGACACAAAAATGCGCAGGCTAAGATTTGAACTGGCAACCGTGTGGCTCCAAGGCAGCATTGTTAACCACGGGAGCCATCGCGCTGCTCAAGGGTAAAATAAATAAAAGAATACAAGGGAAAAGGCTCAAAGACGGAGCGCCATTCCCCGGCCTCTGCAGGGTTCAAACTCTCTCTGCCAGCACTAAACAGACAAGGGGATCAGTCGCTGATTCCAACTTGGCTTTGTCTCTGTATACGGTGAGAATATAGCCAGGAATCCCATTATCCTGGCTACAGAGATGTAACGGCTCCACCTTCATATCTTATTCCACAGCACAGCGGTGCCACCTGCACCGCATCTACTGAAATATACTGAAACTCTGGCCTTAAAAAAAAAGAAAAAGAAAAAAGAAAATGCTCTGACTAATTCCCAGATTGTCAAGAGGCTTTTTAGTTGAAGGGCAAATATAACAGTGAATGATACTCATTTCAAGCAGCAGCCAAATTCAGATTTTTTTTCTTTTTGTATCTTTCTTTTGTTATTAATCACTACAAAAGCCCTGCAAAAAGGAGTTAAGAGTGAGTTTGGAAAGCCCAGAGTGACTCCCCTTGAAGGTTTTTTTTCTTTTGCATTTTCATGCTATCCCCACAAACTCTTATGTGTTTTATAAGGATTTTATGTGAAGAAACCAAAAAGAAATACACGAGCACAAAGTAAAAGGTAGCCAACAGATCCACCTTATGCTCCAATTAAAAATGCAGGTTTTTAGAGATGTGTTGAGGGCCATTTATCGACTAGATTGTTCAATTTTGATTTAAGCTCCAAATGATTAGACAAAAAACATAATTGGATAAAAAAATGTTTAGTTTTTTTTTAGCATACTGTTTCTTTTTGTACGACAGTCCCTTGAAAGGCTGAACCAGTGCGCTTTGGGCGGCCTGGTTTAAAGTGTGTGAAGTTGTGATGAACTGACAACCTGACCGGGACGTGCCCTGCCTCTCACCCAATGACCGCTGGAGCCAGAAACCAGACCCATCATCACCCTGCAAGGATAAGTGGGCGTGGAGAATGAATGGATGAAGTGTAAAAGAAAAAAGTGAACAGGAGTGGCAGCAGTCGGATCACTGTGGAGGGTTTGAATTGATCCAAGGTCGGCAAGAAACATCCCAGAGTCGATGGTGTCATTTTTGCAAAATCAGCCACGAAATGACTAAAGCTGCAAAGCGGCAGTGTTCAGCTCCGTATTTTGGATTTGAAGCCACTGATGTGGATCAAAAACAAAACACGTCGGCCTTTTCCCGGTGTCTGAGATGCTTAATGCTAAAAAAAAATACATGCAGCTTTCAGAATACAGTGCCTGGAAAACTCTATGATACAGAAAATGATTCAAAGTTATTGAATATATATCACCAAATTTAAATACATGTCAATGATCTTTAAGTAGCTCTACTAAAATAAAAAATTATTGGTTGTGAGGATTAATCACTTTCTCTTTTTTTACTTGCGTATTTCAAGAAAACTGAAAGGGGAGCTAGTATTTTTATAAACCTTTTTCTGACTGTATTTTTATTTCAACATGGGTTTCATGTCGCTAACGGACACCGCACTCCGAGAAACGAATTGATGACAACAGCTAGATCTGATTCCACCCCCCGTTTCCCAGCTGCCCTTTGGGTCGCCCAGCAGCAAAAGAAGATATGAGATTAGTTTTGCTGGGTTCTGGCAAGGGCCACATGTTTTCTTGTTGGCCCTTCACCGTCTACAGCCTCTTGCTGTAATATATATATATATATATATATATATATATATATATATATATATATATATATCAGTGTGTGTGTAAAGAAGAGAATTCTCACAATTTTTAGATCGACTTCCTCCCTCACCTCCACTCACCTGCCAGCACCGTTAGATGTGCAGGAGAGGAAGCACATAAGGTTGAATCCCGCATGAGTCAAAGGCAGCCTCAAACAAATTCATCATCACATTTCTCCTACACAGTCACTCACACACACAAACAGCATGGGTGTTGTATTTATGGACACACACACACACACACACACAAAGACATCAGCTCGGTCTCTGATAATCATCTCCTTTTGTAGTTGCCAAGGGCACAAATGTCTGGTCTTGTTTTCACTGTAGGGGCTGATGCAGGAAAAGTCAAGGTGAAGTCAAACTGAAGTCAAATGTTTCAGTTTATGTGGCACATAGACATGTTCCACTGTGTGACACCACAGAGCAAAAACAGAGGGGTTTTATTATTATTTAAAAAAAAAAAAACTAAAATCTTCTTTAAAAAGGTGTAGTATGTTTAACTTCCTTTATCTAGAACAGAAAATACTTAACTCATTGTGATCGTTAACTAAAAATACTGGTTAAACTGTAACATCTAACTTATGTAAAAATAATAAAAAAAGTATTTTTTAAATAAATTAGTTAAAACTATCACCATGTCAGGAGACGAGAGATAATCTGTGAAAAGGTCAATCACTTCCACTTCCTCCCGGAGGTACTATGCCCCTTCCCAACCAAATCACAGCCAAGAGGAGGGTCTTTGCGTTGGCAATCAACCTCATGAATGCGCTGCTAAAGATGCTAATGGCACAGAAACAACTCCCCATAACAAGCCAATTAACTGGTTAGTCCAATCGAGACATTAGTTTTCCAAACTAAGTGAATAATTATTTCAAATAATGAATATTTTCAGTGTTGGTTAAAATGACTGAGATTAACATGAAATGAAAACCATTTATTCGCCAATATCGGTGGCCATGCTCACTAGTCTTAGCATTCAAGACAGGCTTTGCTGATGGAGAGAAGCTGTATCTTAGCAGAGAGCAAGTGGGAGGAGAAACAGGGAGTGAGTGGCACAAACATGGGCATGATTGACAGCGCTAAGATCCTCCTCCTGACTCTGATTGGTTGTTTCTAGTAATCACTGGGAGAAGGCAGAGGAGTGCCAGTTTTTCAGATTATCTGTGTCATACCACATACTGTCAAAACATAGTAACAGTTTCAACAAAAATGTAAAAAATTATTTTATTTTTTATTTTTTAAGTTCAATGTTGTACCTTTAAATGCACAGCAAATTGTAAATTGTTCCACATACAACACAATGCACTGAGATTCAGGGAAATGTACAAAAATCAAGATTGATGCAATATTTGTAAAGCAAAAAAAAAAAAAAAAAAATTTTTTTAAAAAAAGGAAAAAAAAACCGAAAAAAAAACCAACTTTTTTTTTTTTTGCCAATTT